AACAAAGCCTTTTCTGTTGGTTGTACAGAGGTCATAACAAAGCATCTTCTGTTGGTTGTACAGAGGTCTTTACAAAGCCTTTTCTGTTGGTTGTACAGAGGTCATAACAAAGCCTCTTCTGTTGGTTGTACAGAGGTCATAACAAAGCCTCTCCTGTTGGTTGTACAGAGGTCATAACAAAGCCTCTCCTGTTGGTTGTACAGAGGTCATAACAAAGCCTCTTCTGTTGGTTGTACAGAGGTCATAACAAAGCCACGTTTAGCCATCGTTATAATATTACATATAATAGGTTATTTATCAGTTATGAGTGCTGTACGAACGGTCACAGTGGATAATAAATCCATTTACGAGTGTCCTAATAAATCCCTGTGCACAAATAGTTGAGTTTTTTTCAATATATGTCAAAAGGAAGCTCTGAAGATGAGGTTTTATTTGTAAAACAAAACTACTACGCAACATGTATTGTCTATATTTTCACTACGCGGTTATGTGAAAGGGTTTTACGCCACTTTTAGCAATATTCCAGCAATGTCACAGCGGGGGACACCAGAAATAGGCTTCACACATTGTACCTATGTCGAGAATCGAACCCGGGTCTTCAGCGTGACGAGCGAACGCTTTAACCACTGGGCTACCCGACAGCCCCTGTTGTTTCCAAACAAACCGCGATGAGCATTCGACAAATATTTGCAATATAACGGTGTTAGTCTTGTCAGGCTTTGTTTAACAAGCTATATGACTGCAACAAATCACGGTGACTACTAAAATACCGTATAAGGCGGCGTAAAACACAATTCACTCACCTTCACTCTCTCCGGCGTGAGGGTAACCTGGTGGTTAAAGCGTTCGCTAGTCACACCGAAGACCTGGGTTCGATTCCCCATGTGGGTACAATGTGTGAAACCCATTTCTGGTGATATTGCTGGAATATTGCTAAAAGCGGCATAAAACTATATCCACTCACTCACATTCACTCCCGCAGTTCGTCCTGCCTGTCCATACTGAAAACACGAGGATCACACTTCGCCCCCATCAATGCAGCTAATCCTCTAGGGTGATTATCAAAAACATCAAGATGGCAGTCGTACCGCACATGTTGCGTCACCCACCCGTGAAGTTCCGGGGTAGAATAGATCTTCAGCAACCAATGCTTTCCTTAAAAGGCGACTATGCTTATCGTAAGAGGCGACTAACGGGTTGAGGTATGTCATCGTATCCCAATGACGTGGGTCGATACTCATCTTGTCAATCACTGCATTGTCTGGTCCAGACTCGATTACTTACAGACCGCCGTCATATAGCTGGTATATTGCTGAGTGTGGCGTTATACAACAAACAAACACAACAGAAACTGTCCATTCTGAAAACACACGGATCAGACATCAATGGGGCTAATCCTCGAGGGGGATTATCAAGATGGCGCCAGCAATGTGAAGAGTTCGATGCTAACTCAGGCGATGTCCGCCCGTGCTGTCGTAACGCACACGTTGCGGCACCCACGCCGGCGTTACACCTTGTGCAGCAGCACACAACGCGACCTGTCACTTTAACTATGCTCGACACAGGGCCCTACTATTGATAAGCCAGTCAAGGGGATATGGGTAAAGGTCACGGCGCAGTGCGCGGCATGTTTGTTTACAATGAATCTTTATGCATCGACCCCTGGACTTGTGTGAGATATGAATTGTATTGAATGATATGTTGATGCACGTATGACACAGAAGCCTTGTCACTCATATTTGGTTGACATATGAATATTTGACGGGAGCGTCGTGGGTTGGCTGTAGTGCCTGTCCATCCTCACTTATACAGGGTATTTTATCTGTTCTTGATGAGGATAAATACGATGGACTTTTAGTGTACTTGCCAGTTTGACCGATTCGAGTGGACACTTGATTGTTTGAAATTAATATTGACAAGCAACAGGTCAAGGGTTATTCGATCACGGGACGATTTTTGTAGGTTATTAATTTAGGGCCATGACAACCACTTACTATTTTGCTGTACATTAATAAACAATGAATTGTAAATTAATATCCATTTGAAGCCTGGCATCCTTTAGTGATATTATGCCGACCGAAATCCAAAATTACAACTTGGATACGTTAACATACTATAGACAGGTGCGGGGAACATGTTTTGGGGGCGGCGGGGTAGCCTAGTGAGTGAGTGAGTGAGTTGGGTTTAACGCCGCTTTTAACAGTATTCCAGTTATATCACGGCGTGTCAGCTTAATGAGGGAGGAAAGCCCGAAGTGATGCAGGTCTCAGACGTTTACCACTTCGGTGAAACCCACGAGCACGGGTATGGTGCTGACAAACCTAGAAACATAATCGGGGCGAACCGGGATTCGAACCCACAATCATAGGTTTCTGGCGTGCCCAAGGGACGCAACTCTGCACAGCGAATCGCGGCGCCTTAGACGAATGGGCCACCCGTGCCCCCGGTAGCCTAGTGGTTAACATGACATGCATGAATCAAGTCAGCGAACCTGACCACCCGATTCTGTTATGGGTTGTTGAAGACCAATTCTAACCCTGATCTTCACGGGGTGGTGACACTGCCAGCCGTATTATGCAATACATCTATACGAGATGTAGGTCCACGATGATGTTGCTAGTCTGTGCCGCGGCAGGCGTGACAGATGCCGGTAGACAGCCAGACACACGGACTGGTAACATGGTGTGTCCCTTTAGGGGAAGGTGATGATAGATCATCAGACGGCTGTCATGCCGAGCTTGTGTCAGTTGTGTGAAACTGGGGTTGGCGTAGATATAATGAGATGAAGTAAGTTTAGCGGTTGCGGATGCACGTGAGCAGGTATGAGTATGCATACACGGGAGGACATGCAGAATTAGGGTTATTGAGTGAGTGAGTGAGTGAGTAAGTAGCGTTTTACGCCGCTTTTACCAATATTTCAGCAATATCACGGCGGGGGGCACCAGAAATGGCCTTCACACATTGTACCCATGTTGGGAATCGAACCCGGGTCTTCGGCGTGACGAGCGAACGCTTTAACCACTAGGCTACCCGACCGCCCCAAAGGGTTATTGACTGGGCGTGCCTATACTGATGTTAATTATTTCACTTATATTGTTTCCTTTTAATCTATGTATGTTTTACGCAATTTAAAAATACTTCAGCGTCCCATAGGTCATACTGACCGGGCATTGTACATACCTACCCGAACTACGTAGCAACTTTTATGCTGGACAATGCGTGACATTTAAGTAATAATCTTGGTCTTCTGTGATATTGCAGTCAGCTGCAGTTATACTTGCTTCATGTCCTCAACTACCATTCCATCTCATCGCTGGTACATTGCCTGAAAATGTCTGATTTTACACATTGACGGAAACGAATGCACTTCTAAAAACATTTTTATCAGTATCATTTCAAACGCAAATGGTAACACTGGACGCACATTGACCATTCTTACCCCCGTTTAAAGGAATACATCGAACAATACCCAAAGGCTGGAAGATCTAAAGGAACCCGTGACCACATAAAAAAGCTATTCCATTTATGCACACGCCACCAGAGTTTTAACTTCCAGGTCGAGACAAAAAAACGTGATGCTAAAATCGCACGGTAATGTAAGCCTCGTTCTGGTAATAAACAGCGCCTGGGAAGAGCGCTCCGTGACTACTTCTAAGGATGGTCATGCCTGTAAAATCGGGTTTATTTTTAATTAGATTTTCAGTCATCCCCATCAAGTATTTACTTCTACGGGTACGTGTTAATTGACGTAAAGGACAAACTGAGCAGACCCGCCCTACGTTTACACGTGCAGTACAGATGTGTGACATCTGGGAGCTGGCATCGACAGCACACGACTCCATCACGGCCTTCCAACAGCCGGAGACACTTCTGTATTTGTTGATCAATTAACGTGTTGTAGCAAGGAATTAAATACTGTGACGAACCATGTCAATACTATGGGGATAGAGTCTCAGGGTGTGTTTGGTCGAGGTCCGGGGACAAGCCTCCAGTTGTAGGGTGCGTCTCCGCGTCGGGGCAGCAAGGGTGGCAGGGATGGCGGGCAAGATGTGGACATACATTATAAAGGTAGAAAAAAATATTAACATGGTTAGTTATGCTTTGTTGGTGGGTCACTGAAACCTTTCCTAACAAACATGACTATGCTCATCTAAACTGACGATGTTTTGGAGGTGGGTGGTCATGTCTACCGTTACTTCTTGGTTGTGTAGCGGCCACTCGTTGGTTCAATCCCTGGCCGTCATACCGACGTTAAAAGATGGAACTTGATGTTGCCCTGTCTGACATTCGGTATTGAGGGGCTAAAACAAGGACCCAGGGGTATACTTGATAACTAGGTGCATGGTATCTCAGTGGGCTGGCACTATGAAACCGACATTAACTGGACTAGTACAAGCAGCGACACACACACGTGCATACACGTGGATAAATAACTGCAATAATCTTGAGCGCGACGTTAAACCCCATTTCCTCACACCTCATGATCAACCAGACCCGTGAAGATCCGGGGTAGAATAGGTCTTCAGCAACCAATTCTTTCCGTAAGAGGCGACTATGCTTGTCGTAAGAGGTGACTAACGGGATCGGGTGGTGAGGCTCGGGGGCTGTTTATGACGCTATATGACGGCGGCGTTAAACAACAAACAAACAAACATGATAAACCGGCCCCTGGCGGGACTTAACACGAGTCATGTGGTGGGAGGCCATGCTATCTCCGAATCAGAATTATATCCACCATGATAGCGGACAGATTGAAGGGACATCACCAAACTCTTAGAGAAGGACCGGATGTTCATCTGTTCATACCTCCCTCTTCACTGTGGTCGTTTCCATTCGCCTTTAGTTTGGGTTCACGTCATGTTCATTATATTTTAACACTCAGACATCAGCACACAAAACGCCTCTTTGATAAAAAAAAGTTTGTAAATTGGTTCATTCACCATGGATATTTCAATTCTTCGAATATGATTGATTATTGATGTACTTTTTATTATTTTTAGATCGATGGCACCTCACGGCCGGGTCTGACTTCCGGTCGCTCCAGCCCTCGCTCCGGGTCCCCACGCCACTCCCCACGCCACTCCCCCAACACTTCAATGAACCACGGCCACAGCCCGGGGTCAAGCATGACCAGTGTCACTCCGCGAAGCATGCACGACCAGTCCAGCATGGGGAGTCCGTGGACGACCTACACTCCGCACAGCGCGGACCACAGCTTCGGAACTTCGTATGATATGAAGAGTTTCTCGCACCCGAAACCAGTGCTGCAGAGCTATGAGGTATGACTATCTAAAACTTCGCCGTTAAACATTCTTTTTTCAAACCAAAAGCGATTGCCGCAAGAGGCGACTATGCTTGTCGTAAAAGGCGACTAACGTGATCGGGTGGTCAGGCTCGCTGACTTGGTTGATGCATGTCATCGTATCCCAATTTTGCGTTGATCGATGCTCATGATGTCAATCACTGGATTGTCTGGCCCAGACGCGATTGTTTGCAGACCGCCATCAAACAGCTGGAATATAGCTGAGTGTGGCGTTAAAAAAAGAAACAAACGATCAAACAAACAAACATACCCTGATTGTGCAGGATGCTACATCATGTCAACCACTTATTCGCCTGTAACATTGCTGACTGTGGAGTAAGACACCACTCACTCACTCACTCACTCACTCCAGTAAGATTTCCAAACGCCCCTCCAAGTTTAGAACCCCATCTTCTCAAGTTGGTCCTGTCTTGCATGGTAGAATCTTCAACACGGTGTTTTTGTCGTAGGACTTTGAGAACAGCAACGTTTTCGAGGCTCAGTCGTTCCTGGAGGCGCGCCACAAGGAGGAGGAGGAGCGTCTGCAGCGATTCCTCCTGGAGGAGAGGGAGAAAGAGATGAAGCGTCTGGACGACAGCATCGCCGGGGAGAAGGAACGCGCTGCGGAGGAGCTCCTAGCCAACATTGACCAGGTCCGGGCTCACGGCAGCACGCGGAGTCTCCTGGGTGAGAGGGACAGGATAGAGGATCACTTCAAGACTGTCAGGGACGACCGCTTCAAGACGATGCAGGACAAGATGGGGACGGAGGAGAAGAACCGCACCACCAAGATGCTGGAGAGGCACTGTCATGAGATGTTGACGCTGATTGGTGAAAAGGTGGGTTACGTCATAATAGTTTGTCCAATGAGATGGTTCTTTGTTTAAGCTTGAAAGGCACAATGTCAAACATTTATACTTCTAAACACATGAAAGTATAGTATTAGACTATATATAGTTAATGTTGGTTTGTTGGTTGGTTGTTTTACGCCTCTCTCAGCAATATTCCAGCTATATGACGGCGGTCTGTAAATAATCGAGCCTGGACCAGACAATCCAGTGATTGATATCATGAGCATCGATCCACGCAAATAGGATCGATGACATGCTTCAACCAAGTCAGTGAGCCTGACCACCCGATCCCGTATACGCCTTTTACTACAAGCATAGTCGCCTTTCACGGCAAGCATGAGTTGCTGAAGACCTATTGTACCCCGTATAGTTAATGTGTCACCCAATGTAATTGTAGTGTCTAAGGTGAATGTTTCTGTGGCGTGTTATGTTGACAACCTAAACAATTTCATCAACATCAGATCCATTGCCCTTGTGTCCATACCCTCTGCGTGAAGACCTGGGGACGCCTTCATAAGAGGTCACGTCAAGTGAACTTTCCAATCCACCAGTCAGCACCGAGGCTTCTATGTCATCGGTACGAGTGGGCGAAGCATTCAGACAAGGATGTCTGATGTTTGTGTCTTGAAGACAAATATAATTACGGACGGCCAAATAATAAAGCCGCGCCATTATATCATGTTATACACTCAGTCGTTTCTGAGCGCCATGGCATCTACACCCAAAGGGGAGTACGATCGAAGAGTTATTTGCGTCCTGTCTGGGTTTTCATTTTGTAAAATTCGAAATATCCGAGTCCAGGTGGTAAACGAATGAAGGGGGTCGTTATACAAAGCTGACTTGTGGTTGGCTCAAAAACCCACCCAGCCTTCATCTGCACTGGGCGGTCAAAGTTCGCTCGGCGATCATCTCACGCGCGTCCTCGGCTCTTGACATCCATTATAAAAACACGACCTGTCAAGGCTAAGAAATGTCAAAAGGACTAATTTAAGAGATTTACGGGAGTCTTATTTTGGGACATTAATTATTTGACCCAAGCTTTTCCTTACAGGGGTGTAAATGATAACAGTACATATTTACAGATATATTTGGTAAAAAGATTCATACTCAGTTATATTTTCTTGAAGCTAAAAACGTCAACTCTTTTCACACTTTATGCGACACTTATGTATTTGATTCATATCATGCATTCAAAAATTACAAGTTTAAGATAGAAAAAAGGGTTAATTGTCAGCCATTTAAACAGGTCTGATGTACCTGTAAATGTAGGCGTATTCCATCGCCTGCAGCACATCTAACCTCAGCATATGTCTCAATAAATCCACCCCATATTTGAACTGTAAATCCTACTTGAACTTTTTAATATTAAAGTCCCACAAACACGTTCTGTCAACGCATGTGCTCGAATAGTATTTGCCGCCGTGAACCTGTTTGAAACACGATACTACCAACAGCTGCATTTCGGGATGATAAACATCTGCCTGGTCACTGGCGTGTCTTTAAACTCTTTGCCCTGTGCTGTTGCTTTAGGTGTTTAATTTGCACAGTTTCAAGCATATTCCTATCTCCAGACTCCGTCGCCTCAAGATCATTCTCTCCACGCCCTATGACCCCTCTTAGCGTAGCACGAACCAAACGTCGCCGCAAGTCGCTCTTAGATCCTCCTGTGAGTGACTCTCGCAAGTTGATGTCAGCACGAAGTCGTAATGTACGTTGTTGTTGTTGTTGTTGTTGTTATAGTTTAAGCGGTCGCCTTAGCAATTTCACCTGACCTGCCCCTCTTTGGGAGTCGGGTGCGAGTAGGTCAAAAATATCTATTGTGAGTTTCGATAAAATTTCTGTTTTTGTATTGATAAGATTTCTATTTTCGTGATTTCATATGTTATCTTTGGCTGCACGGTTTTTATACGTTCGAGTAGCTGTCCATCTCTCAGAAATAGAGTTAGTGAGGTCTTCGCTGTTGCATCTCTTGGCTTTAGGAGATCTACGACATATAGCGGATCTAACTGTAATCCTTGTTTTAACCGAGCCTGGGCTGGGGCGTGGCCTTGACATTCCAGTAACACGTGAGCAAAGGATTCAGGTTGATTGTAAGATGGGCATACCTTGTCATAGTGCTTTCTGTGACCGAGTCTGAGGCGTGAGATGGCTATTTCAACTTTCATTTCATTTGAGTACGAGTATGGCTTTTGATGGATCTTGGGTTGAATTTTGTATAGCCATCAGCCGATCTTACTTTCGTCCCAGTCTTTTCACTACGGGGTATTTGGCTAAATATACCACAAATAAACACCAAGTCTCGCAGTGTATAGCGTGTGTATATACACCTTCTGTATACAAACTGTCAAACATCGGTGTCACAGCGGCCGTAATTACAATCAGAGCGTCTTACACACACACACGACATCTCGCATTGTGTGCTGGTCGGCCATCGCGGAACACATTCACCGACACCGCTCATTACACGGGGCACGTGACTACTAATTTTCCACACGTTAATCGCCAATCAAAGCGCAAGAATTAGCGACACGGTGTCAACCCGCTTCACATCCCCCGTGACCTTTTCATTAAGCCGAAAAACCAAGATGTTGCTTTTTGTTTCATTAACTAGCATCCGCGGAAACTGACGTTGTGCTATCAATGACTTGTTAATTGTAATCATGTGCGTAATCTCGCGCATCTGTGCGAGAACAATGGCGGACACTCGAGCTAATTAATTAGAGACAGGTTAAGTGCAATAGAAATTTAATTACGGGGTCTTTTAACCCTGGCTATAAAAAAGGTATCCGTGTATTTGAAATCATTGTATAACTATTTGACGAGCTGTTAACATGCCTGTCCGTCAGCGACTCGGGTCAAGTTTTAAGTCGTTTCCAATTCGACGAAAGAAAGTTATGCACACATTCAAGTCCTTGCTGAAGGAACTCGGAGGGGAGTTGGTAGGTGTGATTTTTAAATGTCTAAGTAAATATGATGAAGTGAAAACAGTTTTATCACTTGTCGTTATGAACAACTTAGGTCCCCATGATAACATAAATTATTGTTCTAAAAAATTAACAGACGTCAATATGACAGGTATCTATTTCTTAAAAATGAAACGAGACCAAACAGACAAGAGCCCGCTTGTACAAAGTGATCTTAGGTCTACAGCTAAGGTAAGTCTATGGTAAAATATAGAAGGTTTAGTAGATAGAACCGCGATCTTTTAACCAAATTTTTCCTTGTGAATATGTGTTGTAGTTTAGGCCATGTCCACGAGTGCAAGACAGTTATTCCACAGAATACATAGACTCTATTACCACTAATTGAAGCTACATTCATGCAGCGGTTAAAGCGTTCGCTCGCCACACTGAAGAACCGGTTCGTATCCCTCGTGAGAAGGCATTGTTTGTGTCCCTACCATGGTTTCAATATGGTGAACATTGTGAAGAACACACTCACTACAGTGTAATATTTGGTCGTTAATTCCTCTAGAGGACCCCGCGTGGATGCCTGGATAGGACAAGGTGACAAATACAAGAGGAAATCTTGATTCCAAACACACACAAAGTTCATCGATTGAGATATTTTACCGCCGCTTCAATCAGTATGTGTTGTCTCCACAGGACCGCGAGGCTGACCGTAGCGTGCTGTACGACCACTCGATAAGACCGCCTCTGGAGCCGCCGGAGACCAAGAAAGCTCACCTGTACAAGACCCCAGCCAGGTTTGAGCAGCTGGACAGAAAGGCCGTGCAGGTAGGCGCATTTTACCTGGGAAATAGCACTGTGAAAACACACATTTGTGTGGAGAGAGGGTAGATCCAAATTTATCTTATAAAAACATGTAAATAAAGACATATTTCAAGTCTACCGAACTATATTGAAATATTTGGAAATTCTTTCGTTATATTTTGATGCTTTTATTTATGATTTTATAATTTATTTTAAAAATTAATAATAATATTTCAGCTCGTAAGCAGAGAGTATTCGACTTACACAGATCTCGTGAGAGATCTTACTCGAGACTGCAAGTCGGAACTCGAGAAAGTCAGGTAAGTTCAGATACACAGTAGGCTTACAAGCAGTCATAGGAGTTAGAATTCTAATGCAAGCTTTCATACAACACGAATGGTTGGTATTATTATATATTTATGAATATTTCTTGACATTCTATGCCAAAGCTGAGCCATGTTCGGCCTGTCGACGTATCAAGTGAATGGAGTGAGTGAGTTGGGTTTAACGCCACGCCACTTTTAACAGTATTCCAGTTATATCACGGCGTGTCAGCTTAATGTGGGAGGGAAGCCCGAAGTGATGCAGGTCTCTGACGTTTACCACTTCGGTGAAACCCACGACCACGGGTATGGTGCTGACAAACCTAGAAACATAATCGGGGAGAACCGGGATTCGAACCCATAATCATAGGTTAATGGCGTGCCCAAGGGACACAACTCTGCACAGCGAATCGCGGCGCCTTGGATGACTGGGCCACCCGTGCCCCCTCAAGTGAATGTACATTATTCACACAAACATCTCCCAAAGGACAGTTCAGTTATACAAGTGGATTGTAATGTACAAAGTTGCATATCCCCCCAAACCCCGCATTCAGCATGATTCCCATCAATGCTTTCGGCACTACCGGACCCTTTCCGTAACCATTCGGCTTGCCCCGGAATATGAGTGGGTACGATTGTCATCAATGGCACAAAACCCAACTTAGTGACCTGATATTTTTGAAAGACGATTAAGGATTAGTGGCTTATTTTTAGGTGGTTATTTCCATTACTTTCCAGAGTTCTCTTCCGCTGGGTGATCGCCAAAGACCTGAACAAGAATACCGTCAATGACATCATCCGTCCCTCCGCCTCCGCCATCACGCTACTCAAGGGAGTTAAGTCAGGCAAGGAGACCTACCATCAGCTTTTCAAACGGCTCTGCACGTAAGTGGACTCTCAAGTTAAAACACATAAACTGCAAGTTATTCCGTGGCATTTGATTGGTCAAACAAGGATAATTTTTTGTGTTGCCATAAACCGGAAATCATGAGGCCACGCCATCTAACGGACTATACAGTAGATTTGCTGATAATAGAATGGGCGGAGCTAGTGTCGCATTATTACGCAGAACGACGTCACTGATTTCGTACTGTTTTCTACAGTTTTTGTGTGTAAATTATTAACTAAGCAGCCAGTGTCGTTCTAAAGTGTTAACATATTTATTAACAAGAATTGACTTCAATGTGTTTTTGCGTTAAAGAGTTCTAATCTTTATAACACTTTACACATTTAGCGTAAATCGGCTACGCGGATGTATACAGTGTGCACACTGATTTTACTTTCATACCTCCATAAACGCAAAAGAAATATTGAAGTCAATTTTTATATGTCTCAAAATCAGGACCTGATAAAAGGTCGAGGTCGTGGCCTCACTGGGAGATTTCTACTTTGACTTACTGACAATAGTTATTACAAGGCTATTACATAGTTTTCGAACAAGTGCACATACGGGCATAATACCAAAACTTAATTTCAGGTCTAGAACTCTTGATTGTTTTGATGTAAAATATATGTAGAAAATGTGAGTTATTTGATGGTATGATGGCATTATAGAAACTAGAGAGTTCGTTGTTCCCTGATTAGATTTGCTTGGTAGTTAATGATCGTATCTATTTTTAACTTCACACCGAATACATACAAGTCTACAAGAGAAATCAATTAGAATTATAAACAAGGATTGGCCGACATGACGACAATTTATTATATAAGCAAACTCATTTTTCCAGGTACGCCGGTCTTCATTGCGAGATTATTCTTGGATATTCCAAAGGAGCTGGTTACAAACCGGGCATGCGCATTGAGGGCACAACCTTCCGGAACTCGTGGACGGCTGTGTGCATCGACGGAAGTTGGCGATTCGTTAACTGCACATGGGCAGCCCGTCACGTGTCAGGTCACATGGACGACCTGCCCCAGCTGTTTCACAAATACGACGAGTTCTACTTCCTCACAGACCCAGAAGACTACATCTACCAACATTACCCAGACGACCCTGCATGGCAACTTCTAGAAATCCCACTTCCGTTTTCCGAATTCATTAACCTTCCTGTGGTTAAATCGCCATTTTTCAACTACGGACTGAAATTTTATTCCAACTATGGTGCCACTCTGTCGACAGAGACGGGAATGATTGAAGTGAGACTTGTGATGCCAAAAATTCTTGGATTTGGTTCCATGTTGGAACCTGTGAACAAATCATCAGGAGACTCCCGGAGTCTTGATGGAAGGACGCTGTTACGGTTTGTGAAAAACGAGGCCATATTTACAGTTGCCCTTCCGCGACCTGGGTTATATTATTTCTCGATCTTTACCGGGGATTTCTGGCATTCGGAATGCCTCGAGAGTGCTTGTTCCTTCCTCATCAGCTGTTCGGAGATGTCCGGACCGTCCTCTCCTCCGTATCCCCCCGTGCCGTTCTTTGGGGCCACGCCCATCATGGAGAAATTGGGCATCAGCACGGAGAGCACCGATCCACTGATTGTGTGTAATAGTGACTACTTAGAAATCAACTTCAAAATGGAAAATGACACGAAAGTATCGCATACATTCCAATATTTCGACGTCGCTGACGAATCCGTGCAAGACATTGACAGATATGTATTCCTCCGCTCGCGGAACGACACAGGGGCCACGTACTTGGTGAGGTGTCCGAAAGAAGGCTTCTACATCTTCTCCCTCTTTTGCGCAGATCCGACAGGAGACAAAACCAGTCTTGACTGCGCATATCGCTATCTCGTCATTTGTCAAGAACCCAGTCCATCTGGAAACGCGTTCCCGAAGACGTTTGCAAAATGGCAGCGTTGCACCTTGTATGAACCCGTGGGTGGGGATTTAATGACGGACAAACGATACACCTTCCGACTCGATGTCCCTCAAGCCGTGGAAGTGTTCCTCGTGATCGGGGACATCTGGCATCATTTGAAACGGAAGTTAGGATTCACCTGGGAGACCAACGTCAATACCGGAAATGGTACCGGAAGTGCTACAATATATGCGCGGTTCCAAGCCGGAAAGGACCAGAGCTTGTTTTCTCAGCTTTTGGAGTATGAACTTGTGGACGAGATTGAGACTGAGATTTGAGGAGTTCAGTGTTCACTCAGAGCAGATTCATGACAAATGATGTTAATTCTTCATCACATAGCGTTATTGAGGATTGGGGGTGGGGCAGATATAGCGAGCAATGGTTACACTAACATACTTTAGCCCACATCATTCATTGTAATTAATTACATTCCTGAAAACAGCAATATAAATTTCTGAAGTGACTAAAACAATTTATTAATCTAATTCGTTAATGATATTAATGAAACTTCGTAGAATATTTGTTTTATATATTTGTTGGGATAATTACCTGGGCAAAATGTATTTTTCTAACACTTGAATATGTGCGTTCCAAACACCTCCTAAGTGTAGATCGACAGGAATTCGGCATTCTAAATGTGTATTTTATTTTTTTGTTTTAGTCAAAGGGCTGACGTGAATAACATTAAATCCCGTGATGCAAGTAACATAGCAATGTATATGTCACGCATTGCGACAACATAATAAGTGCTGCAATAAAATGTGCTATTTGAATAATTAATATATGAATTGTATATACTGATATGTACAGAGGAACCGTTTTGTCGTGCTGTTTAAGTATGTTATAGTGATTGGAAATAACCATACTACTCTCACATAGAAGCGTTTTGCTGTTTTCGATCAATGTGATAAACGTGCTTTTTAACCTGATCAATATTTAATTTGGATTATGGTTATGCATATTTCACCGCATGTTATGCCATAAAAGGACTGTGTGATTGTGCAATAAACAACTGACATTTACGCATGCGCACCCTTGTCATTACATAATTGCCATGTTTCATTATTGACACATTGATCGTCATGCTGTAATATTTATAAAATCATTTTTACATTCGAATACGTTATTTCAATATTTTCAAATTCTGACTGTGCTACCCTATTCAGGCCATGTTGTTATTTATTTCCGCTTGTTAGTTCACCCTGACCTAGTTATTCCATACCCAATATAGGTATGCTTGTCAAAGGCGTCTCCCCGTGTGATATGACATTATTCACCTCATGTACATTCTATATAAGGCTTGCCAAAGTGTGTCAACAGTCGGACACACGACGCTGAATGTAACACATCTCGTCATTCTGACCCATTCGGCGGAATCCGGGAGGGTCGTACGGAAGTGTGCGGAAAGTCACGAACTGTATTTCGTCATTCTGGCTATATTTCTGTAATAAATATCGCTTTGAACAGTTTTGAGCTTGTGTGTTTCTTTTAGAATCCCAGTTACCTGTACTGTAAACACATGAGATGTGAGGTGAGGTGAAATGGGCTACCCGCGTTCAAGATTATTGCACTTATATAGCGACGTGTTAACATGCCGCAGTGTAACATGAATACCCCACTCAGACACAGTATACTGACTCCGAGCCGACCAGTCCCTGTGTTATCCCCTAAATGCCGAGCGCCAGGCAGGGTAACAACGTTAAAAGATTGTCATTTGATGGATGATTTCCAAATGACGTTTTATCCCAGAGACACTGCTGGTGGTTTGGTTGAGTTGCAAGCGGTGTAGTCATTGGTCCGTTTGGCAAAGCTTCATCAAAATGGTTCATTGTTCCACATCTGTGTAGTTCTTCTTAACGTCTTTTGGGGCGGTCGGGTAGCCTAGTGGTTAAAGCGTTCGCTCGTCACGCCGAAGACCCGGGTTCGATTCCCGACATGGGTACAATGTGTGAAGCCCATTTCTGGTGTCCCCCGCCGTGATATTGCTGGAATATTGCTAAAAGCGGCGTAAAACCATACACACTCACTCACTTAACGTCTTTTGGTATGACGCGACCGGGGATCGAACCCCGACCTGCCTCTCTCCGGACAGGCACTCTACCTCTAGAGCAAGGAGACTGTCTGATAAACACGTGACGATACCTGCGTTAGGACCCATATGGATATAAAAAGGGTGACTGGATAAGTTCGGTTTAACAGTGTTCAATGCAGCTGGGGTAGTGTTACAGTTACATCACGGCCCGTCATCTTGGGAGGAAAGTGAGTGAGTTGGGTTTAACGCCGCTTTTAACAGTATTCCAGTTATATCACGGCGTGTCAGCTTAATGTGGGAGGAAAGCCCGAAGTGATGCAGGTCTCAGACGTTTACCACTTCGGTGAAACCCACGAGCACGGGTATGGTGCTGACAAACCTAGAAACCTAATCGGGGAGAACCGGGATTCGAACACACAATCATAGGTGTCTGGCGTGCCCAAGGGACGCAACTCTGCACAGCGAATCGCGGCGCCTTAAACGACTGGGCCACCTGTGCCCCCTTGGGAGGAAAGCCCGGAGAGATTCTGAATCATATTAATGAGCGGCACCGTCAAACATTTTGCAAGGGGGAAAGTGCTGTCATTTGCAATAATATTACACATTCGCAAAGGCAAACTTCCTGTAAAAAGTATCAGGATCGCCCTTAACATTATTGTCGCCATCTTCCCGAGGCAAGGGAGTTAACTGAGTGTTAAAGTCCACTCTCCACCCTTGCCGAACAAGGCTGGAATTTCTGTGCTCGATCGTAGCGCCACCAGAGTTATGTCCCTTCTGTGTCTCTCCTATTGACCTCGTCACGCGGTTTTGGTTGGACTACGCATGGACTCCTTAATATACTCCATATTATCATACCGCCATGTCAGAATCCTCTGTAACCCGCCTTGGGGAGTAATACATGTCTAGGCGGGGGAATAAATCTTGTATACCACGCCTAAGAGACAGAATAAATCGTTTATACCCCGCTTCAAAGCAAAAAACCGCACGCTTTTTCCGAGCCAATGGATGTCACGTGACATGGCGCAAGCTTACCTCATCTCAGTCGAACAGCTGTTATCTATCAATTTGGAATTTATTTGAATGATTTTACAATGTCATATTAAACCATGTCAGTAAGATAAATTCGTTGTAGCAGGATCACTCGGGGTACATTGGGTTGTATGCGTCCCGCGTTATGTTTTATACCATGAGCCGGATCTGCCACAACTTATAATGCCAGCCTTGTTCGCCAAGGGTGGAAACGGGTCAGTTAATTCCCTTGCCTCTGGAAGATGAACTGTCGCCCACTCTCCACAAGTGTCCTGCTGCGCTTGTTCAATACATGTGTGTTTACTTGTAGGTTCACAAGCAACGCGTTTATACCATCGCGTAGTCTTGAGTGAGTGAGTAAATGTTGCATTACGCCGCACGCAGCGATATTTCAGCTGTAGCATGGCGTAGTGTAGACCAGACGAACCAGTGGTTGATACCATGAGCAACGTTCCGCGTCGACTGACATTTACAACAAACGCCCGTGACATGAGTGAGTGAGTGAGTGAGTACGGTTTTACGCCGCTTTTAGCAACATTCCAGCAATATCACGGCGGGGGACACCAGAAATGGGCTTCACACATTGTACCCATGTCGGGAATCGAACCCGGGTCTTCGGCGTGACGAGCGAACGCTTTAACCACTAGGCTACCCGACCGCCCCTATTTTAAGGATCTTGAGCTGATCAAAAGATCCTTGAACTGATCGAAAGGTCGCTTTACTGATAGAAATATCCTTGAACATCAATGCTCGTGATATCAATCACTTTTTGTCTGGTCCAGACTATATTCAGAAGGCAGTCATATACATGGAATACTGCTGAGTGCAGACACCACTGAATCTCTGCAGTGTGATATATCAATTCACGTACCGTACAACGATGGCCGGTTTAGGAAAGGAAATCGATCACGTCTATTGACACGATGATCAATGAAAAAAGATAGTGACGACACGACCTTATAGGGCACAACAAAACCACAGCTAATCCTGAAATATACATTTAAACTACGTGTATTTGTGTATAAATCAACTGTATGTCTTCAGTATGTGCCTCAGTTACTGGTCTACAGATTCAGACAAGTGTTTACCGGCCGCCGTGTTTGAGAATTGGAATAATGCTAATAGCGATAATAACAAAAAAATGCAAACTCTTTGAAGCGGACATAAAATAACTGCAATTTGCAAGAATTTGTTAAAGTGATTTCATCTTGCATACTGGTGACTCTGAAACATTTGTAATTGGAGCCGAATGTTTGTTATTACTTGCAAACGTCAAAGAGTACCTGTTCTTGCAGTGATATTGTTCTTTTGCAATACTTTTCTCTAGGGAACACACACACGCACACACACACGCAGCATACATACATACACACACACAGCAGACACACATACATACACGCACACATGCACAAGCACATACATATACATACAAACACGCGCGCAAATACATACCGCGCGCTCGCACACGCACACACACACACCACACCACACCACCACCACCACCACACCACACCAATCTTGAACGTGACGTTGAACCCCTTCACCACCGATTAAGTTTGAAGCAGAATGCAGACAATTTTGCAATTTCCTGAGACGTTATGGTGTGTGACGTCATGCTGTTTGAGGTCAGGGTTGTGTGACGTCATGCTGTTTGAGGTCAGGGCTGTGTGAAAACAACACACACGTGTATATAACTGGTGCAGGAAGATGTCCTACAACACAAGTCTGGACGTCACCTAGCAGTTCACTGTGTGAAACAGACAGTCTCTGTGTACGGTCATGTTCATATGCGTGATAGATTACAGTTTGTCGAGTCTTAATTCCAAGTTTACCTATGTCAAATTCCCCTTTACAGCGAAATCCCATCAGGCTGTGATGAGACAGTGACGTCATAGCTTCCTGATTCGCTGACATTCATTAATGACTCACAGACTCGTCAGCTGACATTGTCAACTTTGGATGTGTCGAAGTCGGTTGTGACGAATGATCGATTAACAGAATATTGTATTCCCCGGAAATATTGATCCTTGAACCAATCTAAGTGAGTGAGTGAGTTTAGTTTTACGCCGCTTTTAGCAATATGCCAGCAACATCACGGCGGGGAACACCAGAAATGCGCTTCACACATTGTACCTATGTCGGGAATGGAACCCGCGTTTCGGCGTGACGAGCGAACGCTTTAACCACTGGGCTACCCAACCGCCCCTGAACCTATCTTAAGGATATTGAGCTGATCAAAAGATCCTTGAACTGATCGGAAGGTCCCTTTACTGATAGAAATATCCTTGAACTGATCTTAAAGTCCTTTAGCTGATATACAGATCCCAGAACCGATATGAAACATCCTTGAATTGATATAAAAGAGCCTTGACTTGATATTTATTTTTCAGTGATTATATCAAGGCGGCCCTTCCATGTGAACATCAGACATAAACAGTTTTACAGAATCGTGCTTTATGCTAATAATTCATTATGCTGTCGCGTGCAATTACATGATTCATTAAGATTTATTAAATACACTTTCTGCCAAACTCGATAATGACCGCATTAGTACAAAAAGAACACTTCAGCAATTTCAGCAATTCGTCCCCAGGGGCCACTAATTGTTTATCAATATTATTTGAATAGAGCAGTTTGCCCAACAAGCAAATATCGCACAACAGTTTTCAAATCAAATGGAATTTTTTCAACAAACCACCCCCATAACAGGCTAAATTACAGATACCATCAATCTGCCAAGGACAAAGCCTTTGTTACGGCTTCTCCACCCACATATATTTTTCATGCAGCACCTGCTTACTCGCGCTTGAGTGACCACGTGTTTTTATACCAAACCACGCCCCCGTTTACCCAGCCAAAGATGCGTTATTAAATACAACTACATAACCGAGGCCACGCCTCACTGAACTGCATTCGACGTTATTTAACAAACTTGAATACTAATTCAACCACAGTATTGTCATAATTGCAATAAAACACCAGTGTTTACATATTTCTGTAAATAATGGTCTTTTTCTTTGCTCTTTCACCCCTTTTGTTGCGCGGCTGTGTTATCAGAGAACTCTGTACCACGTTCTGTGGAGCGTGACCAACTTAATTTTAGATTAATGCAGTAGTCAGTGCATGTGGTTCAGCACAGGCCGGGAATGGCGCACAGTGTGGTGTTTCGCAACACTCCAGTCTGTCATATCCGTCCCATTGTTTTAGTCCATGACTCAGGACGGAATATTTGAATTGGTTCGTGGTCTTGAATACAATTAGAACAATACAGTACCATCAATTATTTTGTCATTGATTATAATTTTTTTACTGATGTATTCTCAATCATTTAAATTTGTACAGAACAAGACAATGACGAAATTAACAAAACATAAGGCAAGCAATTAAACTGATGTAACATGGATGGAGATTGATTCGATGACATAACATAACTTTAATATAGATATTGATTTAGTGTCATGACATTACTTAGACAAAACGAATGAACATTCATTATCTTAAATGCATAAACACAATACCAAGCGAAGTAATATCTTAATATTTCCTACTTTAATTCGTGAAAGCTGAACCCCCGTTATACATAACCTAACGAAGTTCTATAAACCAGCATTAATAAGAAAATCCCTGTTTTAATAATGTCATTTCAATGTTTTAATTATATATACCTCTATTGTAAATTGTAAAATGATACACCTTATATGTGGACCAACGGCCTTGAATACAATAAACAGAATTGAATTAAAATCATTTACACAAAATAATTAGTTTGATAAATGTTGAAAAGTATAAACATTCACGTAGAAACAAGATTTATACATGACAATAGGTAATAGTTGGGAGCGATCAGATACTTTCCCATACAATGTTCATGAAGAGCCACAAAGGACAAGAAACATATATCATGACGTTATTGTTTCTAAATGTTGAATATTTAAAGAGATGTCTTCATCTTGATCCCTTCACGACTACAAGTAGAAACTCTTCTGTTTACATGATTGGAGAAAGACGCAATAAAACAGCTGTGTTCCATGTAACATTTGTTTATCAAAAACTATATTTCAACATCTGTAACTGTATCATAATTTATAGGGGTTTTTTTGTGATGAAAACTCATAAATTAGCCCAGTGAGTTGTAGCTTTATGGCCCCCTGTTGATAATGTTCATTAGCGCTGATGTTATCGGGACCAGAATGCACCGTGGAGTGTTTCTTGATATGCTCGCCTTGATATAAACCATAAACCAACGCTCAAATGCTCGCTGTATCCGGAACGCATTTGGTTTATGGGTTTAAAATCTACCTTAACAAATTTCAATATGAGATTAGCGAGAGCTGGAGGAAAAAACGCCACAGGACTCCTTTGGGTAATCCCCCTTGAGGCAAAAAATGGGCCAGGTGTCGCCTCGCACGAACGCACGCGCGGATGATTGACAGCTTGAAATAAAGAACCCGACGTGACGGGGTAGTCTCATCGATTTTTCATAGACGCTGCATATTCATATTTAATTTTCATTTTCAACAATGAGTGAGTTTGTTTCGTTCGTCAGTACAAGTTGGGTCAATTTAAACAAGCACTGTCGCGCGCTGCCATCGGACTGGGTGTACTGGCTTCTCATTCATTGCGTTGCTCAGCCAATGAGCGAGTTGTGATCAATACTAGCAGCGCATGTCAGCATTGAGTACGAGATAGGCTTCAGAATTGCACATGCTCGCTAGACTGTGGATGTAGAATGGTCGTAGTGCGGTAAAAGACACACGCCCCTTTGTGCAAGGATATACATAGTCACACTGCCCTAACCGATACCTCTGTCTCCTGCAACGGGGGAACGGTCACGTGGTTATAGGTGAACTGAATGGCAACACTGCGTTTGTTACGAGATGATTGACAGAACAGAGGAATTGACGAGGGAGAAATAGGTTGGTATCCCCGAGGCTGAACGGATATATTCGTGGTTCTTAATTGGATTTGCATCTGCAATCTTTACCTGGATTTTATACCTGGTTTTACCTGGAAGATGAAACGCGCCGCTATGAGTCACTGGTGAGTCGGCAGGTCCGAGATTGTTGTCAACATGCACGCGTAAGCAATGACTGGGGAGGATGGACGACCCACAGTCCAGTGATGGGGATTCAGATGGGGAGCACCCTCGCCAACCGCAGGACCCCTGCTATCGGTGTGAGAAGCGAGTGTACCCGGTCGAGAGGGTGGACGTTGGGGTGCTTTTCCATCGTCGATGCTTCCGTTGTCGTGTATGTGGACTGCAGCTGACGTTACGGACGTTTCACTGGGATCAGGAGAACCAGCCCGATGTCTACTGTAACGCTCACGTTCCCAAACACGTCGCCAAAATTGATAAGGATTCTGTTGGAATTAAATCAGCATTAAACGCCCCGAAACGAGGAACAAACACCAGCGACCAGGTAGGCATTTTTTTAAACGTTTCACTATATGTAACCTTGCCATATATGTAATATATTACGAGAATATTAACAGCATCCATGTCGCCATGATGAAATGAACAAACGGATTCGTTTACAAGGAAGCGACAACCAAAACCACGTGGTCTTGAGAGAAAAAAATCATTGATTTATTACATGGCCGAATAGCAGCACATGATTGAAAATGTCCGTGCAAGCATGTATCGGTGACGCACGTTTTACATCAAATGTCACAAGAACCTGTATCCCCGGAAACATTATCTTGATGGAGGACACTGCCATATGATATCAACACAATGTGACGTCATACATCTATATTTATATTTAATTAAAAAACCGGGGTCGTTGGTTGATGACATCGAATTTCAACCCGTCCCATCAACCCAACACCCAATTCACGATCAACGTACTGCATCATCGCTTGACCTTGGTCACACCGCCGTGCTACTTTCCCGACAACTAATTGAGATATTACCCTACATCGTGTAACAGGCGTCCTCCCGTCCCTTTGTTAAGTCAAGTACCCTTGAAATTGACTCCTAAATGAACACTCCACCCTTACAGAGTCGACTGGAAACCCTTATCCCGCTGTGACCTTTAAGACTATCGACCTGTTCAATCAACCATGTCATGTCAGAACCGCGATCGATATCTATGCATTAATCATAAAGCGATGTTTATACAACTTAAACCTTCGACATTCCACTAAATAAGGTGAAATGTCTGTATGGAATATTCATCATCATACCAATGAGACTAGCATGTGTTTTATTTGTTGTGAGAGCTCATGATGAGAAGGCCACTTTCAGTGTGTTCCGGGTCGAAGTTTGTATATTGTGGGTTTGTGATGGTAGGATTTTTTATTGATTTTTTTAACGTGTCCTCTGTACTGGGAGTGTTTTGTTTACAACCAGTGAGTCATACATAAACTATATATATCACACGTCGTCACTCACTAAACATAAACAATAATTTCACAATATTTTATGAATACCTGTTCCCGTGTACTATTTTGTTTACAATGATTATGTAACACAAACAACGCAATATATGAGCGTAACAACCTAGTTGTAGACAAGACTTGTATGTCGATCTATCTTTAAGGTCGGATTATTTTATTCACCGGTCAGCTAATTCCACGGAGACATTCCACAGCTACTTGAACTGAACTTTGACAATTGACATTTATCATTTATGATTACAATGATTCATAATTCCCTCTTCACCGTTATGACATAGAGGATATATATATTTTCTTCTTAAATAACAGATTTATCCCACCGAGTACCTTACACAATGTATGATTGTGTTCATTTAACCTTGTGAGATAATCGTGATGTTATATCACATGAAAATCCTAACATTCTATTTCTAATGTATTTCCTTTCCGATCTTGCGTACCTTTGTATGAGAATAACTGTGTCAATGAAGCGGAATGAAAGTGCGGCGCACACTCGGCGGAGATATATATTTTACGTTTGGAGATAAGTGCAGCTTGTCGTCACTGAATACAGAATACCTGATGACACTGTGATCACGATCAATGATTCACTTTCATGTATTACAAATAATAGCGCGACATTAGTAAACAATGAGGTCAGGCCAGGTGACTCGTCGGCACCTAGGTCACCGTGTACAGCGCAGTATCAAGGTGCTCCAGTCATAGACTGGTTCGTCGCACCTGATACGACCGGCGGTACTGTTTGTTTGTTTGTTTGTTGTTTTACGCCACACTCAGCAATATTCCAGCTATATGAAGCTGTCTGTAAATAATCGAGTCTGAAACAGACAATTCACTGACTGACATCACGAGCGTCTATCCCCGCAATCGGAATTCGTTGACATCCTTCAACCAAGTCAGCGAGCCTGACCATCCGATCCCGTTAGTCGCCTCTTACAAGCATAGTTGCCTTTAACGGCAAACATGGGTTACCTGGAGACCTATTCTAACCCGGGTCTTCACGGGTCCCGGCGGTACTGATAGCTCAGGGCAGTCATACCCGGAATACCTGATACCTCGGCGGTACTGATACCTGCTCAGTGAACACCAGCTGGCAATAGTCGTGTTACAGTGATTCCAAACAGGAGATATTTGAGTTTGTGTCTTTCCGTATGGTTGGACCATGTTGTTCGCCATGTTACCGCGACACACCACCGGGAACGTTCATCTCGCTTGTTACGGCGCAGCATACCCAGGGAACCAGCTTGGTTACGGGGTACACAAGACCTATATATACATTGTATCTCGTATACAACAAGGGCATCTAGGGCATCACTTGGCACCTCATTTGCAAATTATTTAACCACTCTTTTGTCGAACTGAATGCGAAACCACAACGTCTTTGTGTAAAAGGTCAGCGTTATTTTACACATGTATGTGGCGGTAATCAGCGTTAATGACAACGTGCCTGCTTCAGACGCTGGTGTTTATGCCGTTCCTTTAATGTCCATCAGTACCACAAGGGCCATTCTCTTGCCTCCTCACCTCCTTCGTGTCTTTGATCTGGGAATTAGTGTCATCTTAGTCCCTCTACAAAATTGATTTTTCCCGTCTGTATTTCTTCAATGCTGTGATGTAGAACACTAATCTGCATTCATCACTGCCATGTGTGTTATGGCGGGGAGTGGGAGGGGGAGGGGGAGCGGGAGGGGGAGGGGGAGCGGCGTTGTGATACTTCAGAGGTAGTCGGACAAATGTGGGGCGGACATTTTGCCAGATGGGGCTCTGGTGACATCTGTCTGAACACACGGGGGGGGGGGGGGGGGGGTGATCGTGACGGACATACTCGCCCGGGGGGACACAGATGGGCGAAGGTGGCAGCTATGCGAGACACATAATCGAATTACGCATGTGTGACAAGATATCGAGACAAAATAATAAGCTTCACATGGAGTGATATAATATGTAATCGAACTACACGTTCCACTTACTATTCATTGTACCAGTGAAAACTGGCATTACATAAAAACGAGTTATATTAGCAAGCTACACGTGGGATAACATGGTATATTCGCCAGTTGTACGTGGGATAACATTGTATATTAGCGAGCTACACGGGAGATAACATGGTACATTAGCGACCTACACGAGACATAACATGGTATATTAGTAACCTACACGAGAGATAACATGGTACATTAGCGACCTACACGGGAGATAGCATGGTATATTAGCGAGCTACACGGAAGATAACAAAGTGTATCAGCGAGCTACACGTTGGATTACATGGTATATTAGCGAGCTACACGTGGGATGGTATGGTATATTAGCGAGCTACACGTTGGATAACATGGTATATAAGCGAGCTACACGTTGGATAACATGGTATATTAGCGAGCTACACTAGAGATAACATTTTATATTAGCGAGCTACACGTTGGATAACATGGTATATTAGCGAGCTACACTAGAGATAACATTTTATATTAGCGAGCTACACGTGGGATGACATGGTATATGATCGAGCTTCACGAGAGATTACATGGTATTTTAGCGAGCCACACGTTAACACGTGACAGTGAAGGAAAATATGGCATATAAGAAAACTTCAGATGTTGGTTACTTTTTTGTCACATAAAGCATCTTTTTCCTGCGAGTTCTGGCCTTTGTCGCCGATGACAAATTCCATCCAATCTTTTTCCTTGTTGTCGCCGATGACGAAGTTATGAATTTCAATCCTTCCTTGATTGGCTGTTAAACGCCGCTGAGTTGGGTCTACAGACAGCTTGACCACTCCCGGATGTCAGATTACAGTCTCTATACTCCACCTGGCACGATGATTCAACTGCGAAAACGATCTTGTGCGTACCCTCCTCAGCGTGAGATAACACACGTAATGATTATGCACAGACTGAACCCCGTCTGTAGGGAATGCACTTCTCGGCTGTGTCCGGCTTTTATGTTGTTTCCTGTTTTCACTTGAAACCCGGGCCGTGCCGAACACGTTTGTCTGTCGGGCGGGAGACAGCAAGAGTTCAGTTTACGTAATACATTAGCTGCACAATTGAGAGATGTGACAGAGGCAATAACAGTAATGGGCCTGACAGTGATCCGCGAATACGCGACGCATTGTGTTATAAGTGTAGACACAATGTAACACGTGTATCACTCTCATTATCATCATACACAGACCGTATTGCTATCAAACGCCCATCAAGTTTACCAGCCCCATCCTGTCGTCAATGCTAATCCTCTTTCTAAATCTCAACGCCTGGCAGCATCAGTAACGTTGTCTTATTCCACGCCATTGCAACCCTACATCATTGCAGCTCTACACCATTGCAACTCTACACCATTGCAACCCTACATCATTGCAACTCTACACCATTGCAACCCTACACCATCAACGGTCGCCCCAGTTGTCTGAACGCCGCCAGTTGTTCTGGAACACTATGGTTGTGAGTTCGAATCCAAGACTCGCACTGATCGTGTTACTAATCATCCCCATATCGTGGACGTGGTTTCCCCAGAGTGGTAAACGTCTCCGACCTGCATCTCTTTAGGATGTCCTCGGTCATCAAACCGACACGCCGTGAGGTAACAGAAATACTGTTTAATCACTCACTCACTCACTCACTCACTCACTCACTCACTCACTCACTAACCCACCCATACCACCCACTCACTCTTTCTCACTCACTCACTCACTCCACCCATCCCACTCACTCACTCACTCACTCATTCACTCACTCACCCATCCCACCCAACCACCCACTCACTCTTTCTCACTCACTCACTCACTCCACCCATCCCACCAACTCACTCACTTTCTCACTCACTCGCTCTTTCTCACTCACTCACTCCACCCATGCCACCCCACTCACTCACACAACCCACCCATTCACTCAACCCACTCACTCACTCACCCTGTACATCATCTTCCACGTGACTGTCAGTGTACACAAAGATGCTTATCGATCATGGTACAACGTGTTGAAGAACAATCTTCACCGGTGACGCATCTGATACGTCTCCCGTACAG